AAAGCCTTGTGGAAATTGCTCGTACTCTCCTTTGGTGGACAAGAAGAAAGTAATTTTGTTACCTAATGGGACCTACCATACATTAAAACATTTTGCTAACTGCCAGACCAGAGGGGTGGTATATCTCATGTCGTGTGAATGCAGCGCATTTTATATTGGTAAGACCAAACAGGAATTTTGGAGTCGCATTTATAAACATGTTTATAGTATGAAAATAGGAAATCGTTATCTCCCCATTGGAAGACATGCAGTATTAGCTCATAATTATAGAGTCCCTCAAGTTAAATTTGTTCCTTTGTATCGTGTTCATATTCATGACGGCGGAGGGGATTGGAATAAAAATCTCCTACAGTTAGAACAAAAATGGATATACAGGATGCAGGCCACTGTACCCCCAGGTTTGAAAGAAGCAATATCCTTTCGCCCGTTTTTGAAGGGATTTACTTCTGGTAAAACTGACTAAATTCCTTCCTCACAAGGAACTGTATTTTCTACATTCTAGACTGCCCATAATCCCTGGACTAGCTCTCATATTATTATTATACAGTATTTATATAGCGCCAAAGGGTTTGCTCAGCGCTGTACAATAGCAAGGGGGACAGAACATGAGACAAAACAGTAACAGTACAATACACGAGGGGTTCGAGGGCCCTGCTCTTTCGAGCTCACAATCTAGGAATACCATATAATAAAGATGTCTTTTCATCTGCCTTAATTAGGCGTTCATTTAGGGGATGTGCACTATTATTATTATTATTATTGTCGTTTGTATATGCTGTGGAATCAAATGATATTGATATTTTGAAAAAAATTCTGTCATTAAACATTTTTTGTTAATTTTTTTTTTTCTGTATCTTTAGATGATTCTTTGATGATTCCTGGGATGGCACTAGTCCTGGCCTTGACGGGTGGCTATCTTGTCGAACATCCGGCACGTGAGATGGCTCATTTGGCTGGGAATTACTTCCCTGAGGGCCATCCATTGAGTTGTAGCCCTATGAGATTAGTGATACCTTCACTAATTAATGCAGAAACATTTCAACTCATTACACCTATTGGCCATGCTTCAACATGGTTAGTCCTACTTTCTTTAGATCACTTTGAGTATCATCTTTCAGGTTCATGAGATAAGCCTTATATATAATTTTGTTTTGATGAGAGCAGGTGCCTGACGTTGGGGCATGCTCCAAATGAGACAACGGATGGTGTCCTTGGGTACTTCCTCCCAGATCTGGACCAGGGCATCTCTGAGCTCCTGGACAGTCTGAGGTGCAACCTGGCAGCATCAGATGGACTGAAACATGACATCCCAGGAGGTGTTCTACTGGATTTAGGTCAGGCGAGCACGGGGGCCATTCAATGGTATCAATTCCTTCATCCTCCAGGAACTGCCTGCATACTCTCGCCACGAGGCCAGTCATTGTTGTGCACCCGGAGGAACCCAGGACCCACTGCACCAGCATAGGGTCTGACAATGGGTCCAAGGATTTCATCCTGATACCTAATGGCAGTCCGGGTGCCATTGTGTAGCCTGTAGAGGTCTGTGCATCCCTTCATGGATATGCCTCCCCAGACCATCACTGACCCACCACCAAAATGGACATGCTACATGCAGAATAACGTTCTCCATGGCTTCGCCAGATCCTTTCATGTCTGTCACATGCTCAGAGGGAACCTGCACTCATATGTGAAAAGCACAGGGTGCCAGTGGTAGACCTGCCAATTCTGGTATTTAATGGCAAATGCCAATAGAGCTCTATGGTGTTGGGCAGTAAGTACAGGGCCCACTAGAGGACATTGGGCCCTCAGGCCACCTTCATGGTCTGCTTCTGATTGTTTGGTCAGAGACATTCATACCAGTGGCCTGCTGGAGATCATTTTGTAGGGCTCTGGCCATGCTCATCCTCTTCCTCCTTGCACAAAGGAGAAGATACTAATCCTGCTGATGGATTAAGGACCTTCTACGGCCCTGTCCATCTCTCCTAGAGTAACTGCCTGTCTCCTGGAATCTCCTCCGTGCTCTTGAGACTGTGCTAGGAGACACAGCAAACCTTCGGACAATGGCACATATTGATCTTCCATCCTGGAGGAGTTGGACTGCCTGTGCAACCTCTGTAGGGTCCAGGTATCGCCTCATGCTACCAGTAGTGACACTGACCCTAGCCAAATGGAAATCTAGTGAAAAAAACAGTCAGAAAAGAGTAGGGGAAAAAAGGTCAGTGGCCTCCACCTGTAAAACCATTCCTGTTTTGAGAGTAGTCTTATTGTTTAAGCTGAAACTGATTAACAACCCCCTCTGCTACTTAACTGACGAGATCAATATCCCAGAAGTTTAACTGACGTGATGCTATACTCTGATTAAAAAGTGTTCCTTTATTTTTGAGTAGTGTATATACACACACACTTTTTTTTCTACATACTCTGACCAGACCAGTGTTACCATAGTGACATTGTACTACTCTGGGGGTGGTAATCAGGGTTTATTTTTACACTATAATTGCTTTTTAAAGTGATGATCGCTATTATAAGCAATTATTTTTAGGAATAGCATCCGTTCATTGCCAGTGTGTACTATTGTGATAACTGCTATTGGCCCGTGGAAACAGCAGGTGACTATTTGTGCCACAGCATGGCCACTAGGGCTTGCAACGGGGAGGATGTTATAGGATGTTCACCCACGATTAGACAGATCTTGCTCGGCTGTCTTTTTACAAAAGGCTAGGGCTAGGCGGAGGGTAGGTAAAATAATTAGTGTTGATTGGGAGAGTGAAGTTCCACTGTAAAGATTTAATGAGCTTTTAGTGATTGTGTTTCCATGAAGGAGTGTACACAGTTTGTTGATCTAATCATACTTGCAATCTGCATCCTGGCCAGATTTCCATCGCTTTTTTTAAAGTCTCATGTAAATCATACAAGTATTCTAAAATATAAACCTTTTACTTCTTACATACTTCTATACATGTCCTCCGGAATGTACATCATCTTTGATGGGGTTATCACAAGGCATTATAAAATGTCCCCTTTACTTACCACTAGGCTTTTTGGGCATTCTGTTAAATGTGCCACAAGTAAATAAACTGTTGCGTTATATAACGTACAATAAGTTTAATTATCAAAAAAAGAAAACCACATCAATTTTTATCCACAGGTTGAAGAACTCTTGTCAAAATTTATTAAACTAATAATTGTGGTTAATATAAATTTTTTTTAAATGTCTGTTTACCAAAAGCGGCTTTATTCATAAAAAAAAAATAATAATATGCAGTACATGTAACGGCGTGCGTTTAACTCCTTCCTGCTGGCCGTTTAAGAAACTAACACTGAAAGCATGCTCACAGGGGCCAGAAATAAATGAAAGTGGCTTATTTCATTCACACAACAATGTATACAAGGCAGGAAGGAAAGCCAATTTTGACAGGTACCTGCTCCCACTCCACCTAGGCGATCAGACTTGATGTTCTCTGCCCCTACATCCCCCCTGCAGTCTTCTGGGACATGTGACAGGGCCCAGAAGACTATGGGACCATTCATAATATGTGAGCACACCGTTGAATCAAGGGACAGGTGAGTGTCTCTTTTTTTTTTTTTTTTTTTTTAACAGCAGACCAGAGCTCTGCTTTATTTTATTTTTTTGTTATGTCATATGTTTTACATTTCTTTACACTTTTACAGGACAACCAATCTGTCCAGAAAATCTGACAGCAGTCAGGACAAATTATAACATCAGGCCCCATACACACAGGGCGTTAGCTAACCTCTCCTAACCACCTTTCTTCGTCAGCAAAATTTTTGCAGAAAAAAAGCTTGACACGTGTAAACACATTTAGGCATGTAATATGCTTGGGTGTTAATTGATTTCAATGGCCAGAATTCTAGCCAATGAAATGGATTAAAGCTTGACACATTTGGCATTAATGCACAACTAGATGTCTTTAGACGCATCTTTTTATTCTTCCACAATGCAGCTGCTCCTGGACACTATGCCAGTGAGATTCTGGGTGCACAGCTACCTACATAGGCTAACATTAGAGGAGCATTTAGAGGGAGGGGAAAGAAAAAAAAAAAAAGGAAAGGGGGGGGGAAGAAAAAAGGGGGGGGGGGGGGGGGGGGGGGAAGAAGAAAAAAAAAAGGGGGGGAGAAGAAAAAAAAAAAGGGGGGGGGGAGAAGAGAAAAGGGGAAAAAAAAAAAAAAAAAAAAAAAAAGGAAAAACCCCACCAGACTGGACTAAAAGCATAAAAAAAAAAAAAAAAAAAAATTGTGTGTGCATGAGCTTTAAGCCAGGGTTTCTTACAATAGTCATCTTTTATGGACAGGATATAAAACTTATCTGGAAATTAATAAAATGGCTACTGCAATTGCAGGATAACACCTGGTAGTGCTATAGATCATCCCTACTGTCAATTTTGGTGGACAGCTTACCCTGCATGTAAAGGGTGTAGAAAACAAGCAGCAGGTGTAGCAACAAGTCTGTCTATGGCCACTTTAATTACAGAATGGACAAGTGGAGTCTGGACACATACAGGCTCATTCAGCAAGGCAAAGAGGATGGATCAGTAGGAAGCACAGCAACCAGAGTACATTTAACTTAGACATGAATTCAGCAAAGTGAATTCTGAAGTTGCTTTGAATTACTGCACATCACCTCTTTCGCTTCGGATTGCCAGAATAACCAAGTTCAATAAAAATGATCTTTAATAACAAGATCTGAAGAGCAGTGTTGTGACTGATAACTCTAGGTTACAGGTCCCACTGTGCTGTGGTTGCAACACAATGAGTTACAAACAGGGATAGAGAAGGGGTTGGGGAGGGGACTTCATACAGACCTCTTGAGTCACACATGATAAATATTGAAATGAAAATTCATATTAAACAATTAAATATTCATGATGATGATTTTTTTTAAAAATTTCATTAACATTAAAATATATATTCAATAGGAAAATAGGATTTTACAAATTTCTGAATAATCTAAAACATTATTCTTTCTGTTTCTTTTTGGCTTTTGGTTCCGCAAACTCATGGCTGCCAGCACGCAAAACATTTCTGTCTAGAGCAAGGTAAGCACCAACATCACTTGCAGCCTTATCAAGATGTTTCTTTTTATGCTTCTTCTGCTTTGGGGTCTCTTGCTGGATTGTGAGGTTTTCCAGCTGAGGTTCCTGTGATGCAAAGTCTGTTCCACCATTCGTGGATTCTAGAGCGGAGTCCTCAATGACAGAAGATCGTTTGTGCTTTTTCTTGTGCTTCTTTTTCATGTTTTCTAGTACAGTTCCAGATACAGCGCCCAAATTCGACACACTGTTCTCCGTAAAGGATGGCCACTCTGTTATGCCATTCTGTGAAATTTCAGTAAGGCCTTGATCAGAATTATCCTTATGTTTCTTTTTCTTTGACTTTCTAGGCTGTTCTTCACTAGAAGGAACCAAAGTTTCAATGTCATTGCCCAGTATACACATTTCTTCAACCTTGATGTAGTTATTGTCAATGTCAACACTAGGCAAACGATCATGACGTTTTTTTCTTTTTGCGTACTTTTTTAGAAACACCATCAACCAGTTGGCTTTTCTCAGACCTATCCTCAGCAGCAATATGTTCTATGGGGGCATCAACCTCAGCAAAGGCAGCTGGAGAACTTACTTCTTGATGTTTTCTCTTTTTGGATTTTTTCTTAGGAATTTCTTCCAAGGTTGTGTTGGTCTCACCTAAACCTTCTGGATTTCCTGGAACAGAATGTAGAACGGTTTCCTGAAAGGCACGTTTTTTAGATTTTTTCTTTGGAGTATCTTCAGGGATTACATTAGGCTCAGTGTTTGTACCATCTTCTGCAGCTTTTTCATTATCAGAAGAAACTTCTCGAATTTGTTCCTTGGTTGCCTCATTCAATCTTTCTATGGCATCAGTTTCCATTCTGTACAAATAAGACAGAACAAAAACACTTGTATTATCAAAATAACTCACATTTGTGCGTTTCCTGCACCGCATTCAAAACACAGCACTTCCAATTTTCAGCAAGTGTCCCTGTTACAGTGATATTAAAAAGGTTAATTTTTTTTTTTTGTTAAACAAAACGTACATTATACTTACCTGCTCTGTGTAATGGTTTTGCACAAAGCAGCCCCTAATCTCCTCTTCTCAGTTTCCCCCGCCTTTGCTCTAGTTCCCTCCCTCCTGCTTAGTGCCCCCGCCTTTGCTCCAGAGCCACTGCTCTGTGGGTCCATTCACATACGGAGCGCAGCTCAGGCCGCCCCTGCTCTCTCCTCATTCACAGTAACAGGAGCCAATGGCTGCCAATGAGGAGGGAGAGACAATGCTCTCATACACATCGCTGGATTGAAATAAGGTTCAGGTAAGAAATAGGGGGGCTGCTGCACAGAAGGTTTTTTTGAACTTCGTGCATAGAATGCATAAAGGTGAAAAAAAAAAAAAACAAAACAAAAAAAAAACAAAACAAAAAAAAAAAAAAACCTTTGCAACCACTTTAATTTAACAAAGCCCCAAACACAGGTTGCAAACAGTGCTTTTGCCTGCCCTAGATCACATGGTACAGCAGTACCATGTGATCCAGTTGCTGTGAGCTTTTAAAAAGTGGTGCATGCATACTTTTGGTGTGGTCCTGCACAATTTCAGCCTATTCAAATCTATGGGCTAAATCGCGCTACACCTGGATTGCAATTGTAATTGCACAGGGTTGAGTTTCTATGCAATTCATGGTGTGAACCAGCCCTTTCACATATTCAAAAAGCTTAGACGTGTTCACCCCCTTTCCAACTCTTATGTTAAAAAAAATGATATGGTTTTTAACTGGATCGCAAGCAACTTGAGTTTATGAATTTTAGGTATGTTTGCATTTTAGTATAAATGCATGTGTTGGTGCAGAGTAACAGCAACGATAAACAAAATACACTCATCAGCCACTTTGTTAGGTACACCTTGATTGGTAAGACAAATTGCTAGTTAGCCAATCACATGGCAGCAACTCGATGCACTTAGGCATGTAGACGTGGTGTAGACGACTTGCTCAAGTTCAAATAAAGTATCAGAATGGCAAAGAAAGGGGATTTAAGTGACTTTGAACGTGGCATGGTTGTTGGTGCCAGACAGGCTGGTCTGAGTATTTCAAAAACTGCTGATCTACTGAGATTTTCATGCACAACCATCTCTAGGGTTTACAGAGAATGGTCCGAAAAAGAAAATATCGAGTGGCAGTTGTTGTCAGAGGTCAAAGGAGAATGGGCAGACTGGTTCTAGATGACAGGGTCAGAATTTGGCATAAGCAACATGAAAGCATGGATCCATCCTGCTTTGTATCAATGGTTCAGGCTGGTGGTGTAGTGGTGTGGGAGACATTTTCTTGTCACTAGCAAGGTGGACCTAATAAAGTAGCCCATGAGTGTAAATATGGGGAAAAAAAAAAAAATCATTTCAAAATACCTTACAAAAGAGAAATATCCAGCAACACATGGGGGTTTATTTACTAAATCTGGAGAGTGCAAAATTAATCAATCATTCTCACTTCTGCCTCGAAACCAACCAGCTTCCAGGTTTTATTGCCAAAGCTTAATTGAAAGCTGAGGTTAGAAGCCGATTGGCTATCATGCAGAGCTGCACCATATTCAGAGTGTTCCAGTTTTAGTAAATCTACTACATGGTCTTACAGTGAATCTGTGCATGTCCCCTCCAAAGCAAATATGCAGTTTCACTTTAATGCCACCCATCATAGCAGCACATACCCACCTTTCCAATTGCTCCCTCACTCCTATATGCAGCAAGTAAAAAAAAAAAAAAAAAAAAAAAAAAAAAAAAAAAAAAATCTAGCTATGCTCTACCATGAGCATGATACTGGTGCAGAGATTTCTGAGAACAGTGATCTGACCAATCACTTTTATGGGACTTTGAAAGGGACAATCTGTGCTTGATTAGCTGCAGTGAAGAGCAAGGGAGACATTGGAGATTGAATAGACCCCCAATGTCTCCATAAAGAGTACTTGACACCTGGTCATGCTATCCCATTTTACACACTATAAAGGAAACAAAATATAAGCTTCTCCATCAACACACCATATAAAATTGTGCAGTGTAGGGCAAGTACGGCTATGTAAACATTAACTGTTCCATACACGTTAGGTACCTATAATTAAAAGCCTATAAATGTATAGTTCCCTCTAAACTGATAACCTTTACAGATTTTTAAAAGAGTTTTCAATAGAGAACTTTGCAGGCCATCGTTTTTGTGAGATCACGAGAGTGCCCAATTTTAAAGCTTGAAATGTTTGGTATCCAATTATTCAATGCAACTCAGTCTTATCTTTTTGCATTTTAAACATATTAAAATCAAATCATATTAGGCCTTAAGACTAATTAACCCCCCAAAACTGTTTATTTCTTAAAGCAGAGACTCTGGACAGTAAAATGGTGGTAGTTGCAAATTTCATATCACATATTAGTGCAACAGTTTATCAAGGGCAAATTTTCAGTAAGAAATGCACTATAATTTCCGGACAAATATAAAAGGACGTTGCACCGAGTAAATAAATACCCAACCTGTGAAGCCTTAATATTGTGTGCAACAAACTTTGGTACCCAAATATAGCTAAGCGCAGCACAATCATCATGGGGATGGGGGGGGGGGGGGGGGGCATACTCAAACTGGTTGAGAATTACTTGGGTGTAACTTTTTTTTTTTTTTTTTTACACTTTTTTCCCCACTTCACTTGGTTGCCATCATATAGGGGACCAATAGCTCCCTATGTGACAGCATGTTTACTTTGACAGGTTATCTTTATTGAGACAGCTTGAGAAAGGAGCATGCTTGTCCATCACGGACACTGCGCGTGTTTGGAAACCAGTCAAACATTCGTGGTGATGTCACAATGCCAGATGTTGCGGTCAAGGGTTGCATTCCAGCACATGCCTGAGAGTGGTAGGGGTGCTGGCCAGTTTCCTCACTCCACACCAGCTGCATACCTGGGTTCTATTAGCAACCACCTCCTGTGGAATAGCGGTCACATTACTTTTGGTTATGTGATAAGCCTGTTACTACTCTGCAATGTGAGTTGCCTAACCGAATGTACCATTAAAGTTATTATTAAAAGTCTAAAACTAAAAAGGCACGGTTTTCTTCTCCCTCTTATTTTTGAGACATCATTGGTCTACTGGACATCTGATGTTACCCCCCCCACACTCCACTGAGGCTAATAAAATTCTGATCACCATGGAAAATGAAAGCCAAAATCCCCATTGCTTCCAGGTTCTTACTAGCTAGGGGAAACCAACAGAAGGATGTTCTCTGGTCTCCCACCCCTCTACCTGGCGACACGTGCCATTCAGGCCCTGGTCCTGTTGGTGACACAGTGGAGCCATGGAAACATGGATAGGGGTGGCAATGTACTTTGGGTCCATGGAAGCAGTCAGTTGGCTGTACAGCCATCCAAATGCTTCCTTCTGAAATTCAACTTGTGATATTTACACACACACACACACACACACACACACACACACACACACTGGAGTGGTACTCCTGCTATCACCAATGTATGACATACATAAGTGGCAGTAAAAATCAACCAATGTTGTGTAGAACTTCCCAAACAAACATTCTTACTGAACTACAAAAGGTTTTTCTTATAAAGAGGAAATAAGAAGAAAAAAAAAAAAAAATCTACCCACAAGATTATATGTGCATTTTGTGTAATGTGTGCATGTTATTTAACCTATGAAAACCTGCCTTGTGTAGATTGCTTGGAGTGCTGGCATCACATCCAAGATGGCAGTGCCTAGCAACAGACTCAGAGCTTTCACTCAAGTAACACTAGTATTCTACCCTTCATTTCACCCTGGACTTTGCATAAAAGGTTATGTAGAAAAATTAAAAGTAGAGAAGCTGGGCCAGCACAGAGAAAATGGACACTCCCAGAAAAGGAGAGGATTAGGAGTATGATAAGGAAAGAGAAGGTTGTGTTAGACAATTTATTCTTACTGGAATAGGCAAATTTGCTAGCAAGTTTAAAAGGCACATTATGTCACATAAAGAAATTAATCATATATGGAAAAGAAAAATTGCTGCATTTTTTTTTTTTTTTTTTTTTTAAATGGGAGGTGCGCTATACACAAGTCCAATAGTCAGGATGAAGCAAAGTATATTTTGATCATAAAATGTGCAATTTCTTCCACATTCAATTGCAGTGTTATTTGGCTAAAGCTACATGGGATATTTCTGTAGCTCAACCAAGCCCAATCACCAGTATCATGCAGTAGCCAGTTGCACACTTTTCCATCATCTAAGATGAATCCCTACTCTACACACTATAGAAACTTAAAGAGGCATTTGTTCCTGTGCCTTTTTTTATATTAGAAACTGCAGAGAAAGACAAAAACGTTATGACATAAATCCGTATTCCTTTATAAAGAGCTCTAAGGTTTGGCCAAGAAAAGTGTTGGTGGGTTCCCTGGCCGTCACACAGGGCAAAGTCCAGGTTTTCCAATGTTTTCAGAAACCACAGACAGGCAACTTTAAACATTTTTTGGTGAATTTTGTATAAACAGTCCATTTAACATGGTTTCCTATGGATTTAGTTCACATCTGTATGTTTTGAGCCAGTGCATTTTTGAAAAGGGTCAGGGACTTTTTTCCCTGCAGTAGATTGCATTTTGCGTGTGCTAGACTTCAACTGATCCACACCAAAAACGCAAGTGTTTTTTTTTTTAATATGTTTTCCAGGGTTTTTTTTTTTTTGGCCAATAGGAAACTATGACAGTTCTGCTCATCTAGTGTGACTTTGATGCTACTTGACTGCCAGAGTGTAAAGTCGCCTCAAAAGTAGTGCCGGAACCTTTATGTGTCCAAAGTCGCATTGTTTTTGGGTTAATCAGAAAGTATGACAGTTCTGTTAATATAGTGTGACGTTGAGTCGACTTTTCACGTTCTGACACTCAAGTAACATCATAGTAGCGCAGGAACCTTTATGTGTCCAAAGTCACATATTAGGGTTAGAACACTAACCCAAACCTTCACATTTTCACCCTATCCTGCGACTTTAGACACAAAAGGATTCCTGCGCTACTTTAGTGTAAAGTTGCTTCAAAGTCGCACTACATGAAATCAACTGTCACACTTCCCTTATTAGCTGCCCCCCCCCCAAAAAAAAAGCCAAAAATGAGTTTAAAACACAAGTTCAAAAATGCAGAACACCCCAGGTCAATGCATCAACCACAGCCTGCATATATGTGAACCTAGTCTAGAAGCAGGAAGAGTTTGAGTGCATACAGCTGGTTGAGATTTGTAAGTTTATTCTGGATTCTTCACTACCAGGGCACTGCTTTGTCTTAGTGAATATAGGTGGGTAGAAAAATCCGGAAACAATCTTTGGTGAGTGGACTGAGCCTTTTGTGTCTTAATGATATTACACCCTTACAAATGCTCCTCTTAGAAAACCATCACCAGAAAAGTTAGTATCAGAACCAAGACAGTGTAAATCACTTATGTAGCTCTAGATTTTAAAAGGAAGACATTGAAGCAAAAAAAGCTGATGCCATTCCCAGTTTTGAAAGATGGCTAGATTGGCAGCAGATACACATAACTTACTGCTTGTCCATCTTGCCACGGATACAAAAGACACCCACAGCATCTGAATCTAATCGGAAAACTTCAAACTCCATGTGATCTCCGACCTTCACTCCTACATGTTGCCAAGCTTCAATAGGCATCTTAAAGGGCTTTGGTATAGAGGCATTAAAGCAACCATGAACCACACAGCCAATATGACTTGGGGCCACTTTATTGACAACACCCTAAAAACAAACAAAAAAAACATACATATTATAAGCAAGATGCTAATTTATGACAAAGGTAACCTAAAGCGCAATTAAATATTTAGGCCAAATCAGCTGAATACATTCCAGTTGCATCAAAACAATTGGTGCTCAACGTCTTACAATTTGTTTTCTCTCTAAGGCCCCCTTCACATGAGCCAGATCATTTTTTTTCTTAGCAGGGCATTTGTCTGTTGATCCCCGTTGAGCTGAGAAGAGCGGCTGGATGACAGGTCCATGTCTGCTCTGCTTATGAAGATGGAACTGGCTGTCCATTTACACCTGACTGCCCTCTAATTTGACCAGATGGGGAACAGATCCCCTTATATATTTTTTTTTTGATGGATCAGATTGGAGGTAGTCAGGTGTAAAACGGACCCAAGTCTGTTTACATCAGCCGCTCCACAGAGGCGAATGGAGGATCCTATTGAATGCAACTGAAAAACGGACAGGCAGACACGATCAAACCTGTCGTGTGAAAGAGATCTAAAGCTGCTGCAGCCCAAGTAGACATACCTGTCCCCAGCCGGCAGCTGCAGAGTGGGATCCATGTTCTCCGTGGGAAAGCAGTATTTTCATAGCACAGGACCAACATGCCTCCTACTGAGTTAGACCCTTATCTCTGCAATCAGCAAGCTCATGTTTTCTGCTGATTGGAGGGATTTAGCTTTTACTCAGAAGGGGGTCGAGTGGGACCACAGCAAAGATCATCACTTCCCACAGACAGCAGGCGTCCCAATCTGCAGCATGCTGGCATTACACAGGCTTTAACTGAGGCTAATTTTTAAAGAACACAAACTAAGAGTTTACACACCTTTTTTTGTTATAATGCATAAAGAATGTACAACACTAAATTAAAAAAAATTTGGTGAAAACAGAATAAAATAATTTGCAAATCTCATAAATCCATATTTTTTTCATAACAGAAAACATGAAATGTACAATTTTAAGAAAAAAAATTAGGTAAGTTTGATGGCAGCAACACATCTCAAAAAAGTTGGGATAGGGTCATGTTTATCCCGGTGTAGCATCTCCTCTTTTAACCACTTGCCTTTCAGAGGATTTGCCCCCCTTCATGACCAGGCCAGTTTTTGCAATACAACTCTGTGTTGCTTTAACTGACAATTGCGCGGTTGTGCAACGCTGCACCCAAATGAAATCTATGCCTTTTTTTTCCCCCCACAAATGGAGCTCTTTTGGTGGTATTTGATCACGTTTGCAGTTATTTTTTGAGCTATAAACAAAAAAAAAAAAAAAAAAAAAAAAAAAAGGCCAACAATTACCCAAAAAAACAAAAAAAAAAATTTGTTTTGCTAAAAAACATCAAGAAAAAAAAAATATTAAAATTAGTCATAAATTTAGGCCAAAATGTATTCTGCTACATGTCGTTGCTAAAAAAAAAAAAAAAAAAAAAAAAAAAAAAAATTAAGTTACACTTACGGTAACGCCTTTTCCAGTAGTCTTTCAGGACAGCACCTTGAGAGACCTCGGCTCCACCCTAAATAAAAAGTCTATGCTCCCCTCCGACCTCAGTTCTCGATCCGTACCTCCGGTCACCTGGGGAGACATAACATGAGATAACATGACCAAAATAAGACATCTCCTAGAATATACATTAACACAAGGGTGGGCAATTGGTGCTGTCCGGAAAGACTACTGGAAAAGGCGTTACCGTAAGTGTAACTTAATTTTTCCCCTTTCGTCTTTCAGGACAGCACCTTGAGAGGCTAAGCGAGTACTTACCCCTCGGGCGGGCTGACCGCTTGCAGTACCTTACGCCCAAAGGCCTGCTCTTGCAGAGACCAGGTCGAGTCTGTAATGCTTTACTACAAATGTTCCGAAACTGGACCAGGTTGCTGCCCTACAAATTTGTCCTGGGGAAGCTCCTGCCAGCTCGGCTTGAGTAGTTGCTATGGCCCGGGTGGAACGTGCCCAGATTCCCTCCGGGACCTCTAACCCTTCTGTCGGTATGCTTGCTCAATTGCCAGTCTTAACCATCTAGCAACTGTTCTCCTAGAAGCGGTTTTCCCTTTTCTCGCCCCTGCAAAGGAAACAAAAAATGATTCTGTGCTTCTAAATCCTTTAGTCCTTTCAAGGTAAAATAGCACGCACCTTCTAACGTCTAATAAATTACATTTCTCCTGATTTTCCCCTACCGGGTCAGGAAAAAATGAGGGCAACACTATATCTTGCTCCCTCTGAAACTTTTGGGCCACCTTCGGAATGAAGGATGGGTCAGTTCTAAACACCACCCTGTCTGAAAAAATTTACAAGTAGGGAGTCCTGACTGACAGGGCTTCCCACTCGCACACCCTCCTTGCTGTGGTAACTGCCACCAAAAAGACAGTTTTCAGCGTGAGATCCCTTAACAAGCAGGACCCCAAGGGTTCAAACGAAGGCTCCATCAATACCCTAAGTACTTTAGTCAGATCCCACATTGGAAATGGCCCACTACCAGGAGGTCTCTGTCTTGTCAGGGCTCTAAAGAACCTGATTACCAGTGCTTCTTTGGCTAAAGGGGTTTCCAGAAACACACTGATAGTGTGCTGATCGAAAGCCCCTTATCGACCCCCCTGCCTGCAGAAATTCCAGGACTGACACCAGGCTATGGGTATCTACTGAGGCCCCGAAGCACCATTTCCTAAAGCAACCCCACACCTTCCCATAAATGGCTTGGGTTTCTGCTACCCAGGAGCGTAGCCACCAGTCTGGCCAAGAGCCCCTGTTGTTCAGTAACCAGGCTGTCAGTTTCAGCCTCTCCACCCTGGGACACAGGACTGGGCCCTGTGCCAGTAAATCTCTCCATGGAGGCAACACCCAGGGCGGCTGAGTGGCTAAGGCCTTCAGTGTTGCGAACCACGCCCTCCGGGGCCAATACGGAGCGATCAGGATGAGTGAAGTATTCTCCGCCCTGAATTTCCTTAATACCGCTGACAGCAGGGCAACCAGGGGGAAGGCGTAGCACAGCGGGTAATCCCACCTCTGCCCCAACGCATCTACTGCCCGTGCTCCGTCCCACCGGCTTAAGGAAAAGAGGTTCGGGACCTTGTTGTTTCTCCCTGACGCAAAGAGGTCTATGTCTGGGGATCCCCACCTCTTTACAATGGCCTGGTACACCTCCACATTTAGAGCCCATTCTGACTCTGAGCTGTCTTCTGCTCAGATAGTCTGCTATCTGGTTCAGTTCTCCCTTTAGGTGGACGGCAGACAAGGAGGCAAGGTTTCTTTTCCGCTCAAGACAAAACCACTGCTGCCAGGGACCAGAGCGACCTGCTCCTTGTTCCACCCTGCCTGTTTATATAGGCTACCGCTGCCCGCGTTGTCCGTCAGGACGGGACATGCTGGCCCCCGATCCTACTCTGGAAAGAGCAGAAAGCATCTAATATCGCTCTCAACTCCCTCCAATTTGAGGATTCCCTTTTCTCTCTCCTGGGGACCACTCTCCCTGAATCACCGACTCCCCTAGGTGGACCACCCAACCTTGGGCGCTGGCATCCGTCATGACCTCCCAGACCACCGTAAAACTCCTGAGTAACACTGGCCGTCTTCCTCCCCCACCACAGGGATCTTTTTACACTGGGGGGGGGGGGGGGGGACAAGAATCCGGGTATCTAAGGACTGTACCTGTCTGTCCCAGACCCTTAGGATAAAATGTTGGAGGGGATGAAGATGCAATCCTGCCCACTGAACTGCCGGGATGGATGAAGTCAACAGTCCCAACACTGACATGGCTTTCCTCACATTTACGCCGTGGCTCCCCAGCAACAGCCTGATCCCTCCATCTAGCTTGGCGAGTTTTTCTGAGCTTAGCAAAGTCTTCTGTCCTGTGGAATCTAGAATGTACCCCAAATAGGTCATTCTCTGGGAGGGGACCAGGAAGGATTTGTCCAGGTTCAATAGCCAACCCAGGCTCTCCAGATGTCTCCTCACCTCCACAACGTTCCACCTCAGCTGGACTTCCGAGCCTGCAAAGTCGTCCAAGTAAGCTACTACAGCTATTCCTCTCAGCCGAATGGGAACCAACACCTCGGGCAGCACCTTGGTGAAAATTCTTGGGAGAGGAGGAGAGTCCGAATGGCAAGGCTCAGAACTGAAGATGATGTGTCCCTGCTATGCTCCGAACTGCTAACCTGAGAAAACGCTGGGAATCTTCTGCGGTGGGCACGTGCAGATATGCATCCTTCAAGTCGATAGAGGCCATGAAGGCCTCTGGTGGGAGGAGGGCTCTGATCGTAAAGATTGAGTCCATGCGGAATCTCTTGTACCGAATAGACTTGTTCAGGGGTCTTAGGTTAAAGATTAGTCTGTAGGCCCCCGATGGTCATCGCAGCTTCTGTTTAGGAGGACGAAAAATCGCCCCTCCCTCTCTGCCCTCAGGTCCTCCTCTGCCCCTCCATCCTAAGGCTCTGTCTTTTTGGGGGACGAAATCTCCTGGCCCCCACATCCTGCAACTTTCGCTTTGGGGGGAAGAATTTTTTCCTGTCCGTCGTACGGTCCAAGACAGACTCTAAGCCTGGTCCAAACGGGAGATCACCTGAGAAGGGGATGCCACACAATTTAATTTTAGACGTGATGTCTCCCTGCCATGTCTTAAGCCACAGGGCCCTCTGGGCTGAGTTGGTTAGAGCCGCTGACCTAGCCCCCAATCTCACAGACTCTGCGGATGCATCCGCGATGTACCCCATTCCCTGCAGTAATGTCTCAAACGATGCTAGGATTTTATCTTTGGGGGAGTCGGCCACAATATGGGCTTGTAGCTGTGTCAGCCAGTACTCCATGTTCCTGGCTACAACAGTCGTGGCCATGGCGAGCTTCACATTTGACAGGGTTGAATCCCACGCCTTTTAAAGGAGGGATTCAGCTCTTCTGTCTAATAGGTCAGGCAAAACCCCCATGTCCTCGAACGCCAAATCCATTTTCCTAGCAGTCTGGGAAAAAGCTGCGTCCAGCTTAGGGTTTTTGTTCCACAGGGCCCCCCGGGTCTTCACTGAACGGAAACCTCCGCTTAAGCAGCGCTTTAGAAAAAAAAAAAAAAAAAAAAAAAAAAAAAAAAAAAAAAAAAAGGAGGGGCTTCTTCTCAGGGTCCTGCCATTCTTTTCTAATGGTGTCCACCAACACCTCGTGCACTGGAAATAACATATGCTTCTGCTCCTCCATACCCTGGTACATTTGATCATGTAAGGATAGTTTTAACCTCTTCCTTAATGTCCAGTGTCTCATATTGCCCCTAGGAGGTCGTCCACTTCCTCCAGGGATAACTTATACCGTGAGGGACCCCTGGGGTCTTCCGAGGGGCCCTCCCCTGCCGAATCCTCCTCTGACTGAGTCCAAGGAGGGTTCCTTTTCCCGTCTCGGGGAGCTCCCTGCTCCGGCTAGTTGACGGGGGCGCCTGGGGAATGGCTAAACCACAAGATATTATCACAGATGCTTGGTTTACTTTTGCAGTTCTCAAAACTGAATTTGACTCAGCGGAGATCACATGCCTCTTTTTCAAAGCAAAAATGTTATAACATGAACAGAGTTAAGAAAAAGCCCTTAATCCTAACTTCTACAAACCTATGAATACAAAATCAACCCCTTCAGTGCTAAGTTTCAAGAAGTTCAGTGAATAGAATAGAAACAATATTTTTCTGATTGTCCAAGGAGGGTTCCTTTTCCCGTCTCGGGGAGCTCCCTGCTCCAGCTAGTTGACGGGGCCGCCTGGGGAATGGCTAAACTTTTCATTAAGTTCTTAAACGAGTCAAAAAGGTACTGTTCAGCTGCCTCACCGTTCTGACCAGGTCACCCTGTTCTGGCCTCTCTTCTTTCACTAACCCCTCAATACAGGGCCCACAGAGAACCTTCTTCCATGAATCCTTGAGAACCGTTTTACAGGACAGGCATTTCGGCCTAGGTTCCTGATGCTTAAGTTTTTCTTGGGCCTTGCCCTGAAAGACAAAAGGATGCAGAAAGAGCCTATCACCCACAGGGCACTTGTTCCACCCCCCCCTTTCTTCCCTGGCAGGGCCTAACACCTCCCGACAGGTCCCCCCCCCCCGCTCAAAACCCTCTGACCACCAGAAGGTCCGGGAATACCCCAGGAGCTAGGGGCCACAAGTAGGGGAGTACTCCTCTGAGATACCTTACCTGGGTCTGGCTGGTGCAGGCCTTGCCTGGTCCCGGTGCCTCTGCGCCCAACATTCTCCAGGAGGGTGTCAGCGGAAGCCTGTCCCCCACGCACTGTTCCGCCATGCACTGCCATCTTTACCGCCAGCCCCGGTATATAGGGCCGTGGCCGGAAGCCGCGACCCCGGGAGAAGCCCCGCCCCTTCCACCAGAAATGCCGTCATCTGGCCCAGCAAGCTCCACTGACCGCCAGCATGGGAAGGAGCGGAACTCCTCCCCGATCCTCACCAGATCCCACTGAGGCCGCCCCGACATCCGCAACTCGCCGGAGGGGGTCGGGGGCGGCCGGTAGGTTAGTGTTCCTGCCCTGTCACCCAGGGATCACAGTCCTGCCCTGCAGCCCACCAGGGGAGGATCGCAGCCTTCAGCCTTCACTCCCCGCTGCATCGAGTCCCCACAGCCGGAACTGAGGTCGGAGGGGAGCATAGACTTTTTATTTAGGGTGCAGCGGTTTCCTCAGGTGGGGAGGAGCCGAGGTCTCTCAAGGTGCTATCCTGAAAGACGAAAAGAGAAAAAAAAATACGCTGTAAGTTACAGCGTCTATGAAACTGTGGTATATATACTGGAATGTTTTTTTTATACTGGTAATGGCGGCGATCGGGACTGTGGCGGGCATTCTGACACTGGGGGGAGAACTGAGTAACTGCCGCTGAAATCCCCAGTGACACTAATACATTAATCAGTGCTAATAAGAAGCACTGGAACTGTACTAATGACAATAGGCAGGAAGGGGTTAACATCTGGGGCAATAAAAGGGTTAACTGTGCTGTGTGCGTTTTACGGTGTTGTCTGTGTGTACTTTACTATGCAAGAACGCTGCTTTGTAGTGCTCTGCTATGCAACAGAAAAGTTGTCCAAATATGAATGATTAACCTATTAAACTGGGATAAAAAAAACTAATATGAAAAGTTATTCTAAAAATCTTCATCTACTTGCATATTAAAGTTATACCAGCAAGAATTAGTCTATGTAGAAAACTAGGATTTAAATCAAGCCTTACTGACTAGTGATTTAAATTGTGATTCTGAACTCTTCTTCCAAAAATATTACAGTCCATTTCCTAGTATGCAAGTATGCTTAGGTACTCATATGCCTGCGGCCTTTTAGCTACCAATAGCGTGAACAGATTCAGATTTGGAGTGGATTAAGGGATTTTACTACTGTGCTGCTGTCTTCTTTGCTACAGATGCCAACATGGGGAGGCAAAGCCTTGCCTCTCCCTATTACTTTAGAGAACTGCTAAAGGTAAAAATACAATTCACGATATTCAACCCAGTAAATCGGGAGGAAGCTTTGAATTAATTCATAGAACACAAAGTTCCCTCTAAATGGCTAAACCGTGGTTTTGTTGCCGGAACACAGTGCTACATACTGTACAGTTTATGCAGCACACAGCTGCTACATCTGTTAATGAAGTAAGTTTATTTGGTCTAGCTTGGTCCAAACAAATGTTTTAAACTTCACTAAAACATGGAAATCAGCTTTAAGTCAAGAGCAGCAAAATATTTAATATTTACAAAACCAAGTCTTGCCAACAAGTTTACAAAACACATGCAAGAGGTAAAAAGTTAAAAATGTGCCACCTGGCATAAGCCATTCAGAATGAAGTCCAATCAACCTCAGGAGAAGGCACTTACCAGTATCCAAGCATCCCTTTAGTTGTGAGCAAATGTTCTGCAAATGACCAACATCTTCCTGCCTGCAGTGCATTGTAGGATGGTGGGAACTATACCAGAGCTCCAACTTAATAGTGGTACTAAAGTCTCAAGGTTTCCTACCTTCATGAAGTAAAAAAAAAAAACAAAAAAAAAAACCTTTGTGTGTAGCAACCCCCCCCCCCCCCCCCCCCCCTCAACTTGCCAGAGCCCCTTCTCAATACAGCAATGTCCACGAGAGCCTCAGTTCTCTGGGGACTCTCACTCCTGATCGTCTGAGACAGTAGGGGAAGTCAATGGCTGTCAACCATAGCAAGTGAGGAGGTGCCAGGAGCACCTACGTGGGGACTGGAAAAGAGGAGGATCTGGGATGCTGCACAGAGCAGGCAAGTATGGCATGAAATAGAGATTATAAAGAGATCTCTATCTATAAAATATTATATAAAAAAAAAAAAAAAAAAAAAACACAACTAATATCACTTCAAAGCGGAGGCCTGCTAGTTGCATCTACCAAGGTTTAGGACTGCATGTTCTTGAGGAATAGTATTAGTTGGGCATGATTTTTGTATGACAGGTGTACCAAAATAACTGGAGTAGAGAAGAAGTACGTAGAAGATGAGTGGCAGAGGAACAATAAGACTCCTGAATTAGTAAAAAAAAAAAAAAAAAAAAAAAAACAAAAAAAAAAACACAATTGTAATGTAAAGTAGAGATGTAAAATAAGCAGCTTACCACAAGTTTCTCTCCATATCTTGGCTGGAAGATGACAAAGTCGACTTGAATATTTAGGTGAATATAGCCTACATCATCATGTATTTCAGCAAGCTCCCCAACTATATTTATGTTCTCATACGCAACTGGAACACCTTCCAATCTTTAAAAGGAAAAAAATTAGAATTGTCAGACCAGGCAAACAACTTCAATAAAGTACAATATAATGACCTTTATTTTACTTTTATGATTTGTCTAAAGAAGAGAGGAGGTAAGAAAGCTGTACAGAACTGAATGCAATGAAAAAATGTCTCTTGCCCATATTATGCTACACATGCATATCAATAGGCAGGGTTAAGTGGATCACAAGAGCATGTGCATCACTTTACTGACCTTTATATGCACCCCTGGCTAACACCTTTACCAATTTTGGTTAAGTTGACATTTCACATTTGATCAAATCTTAAAGGGATATTTAAAAAAAAAGAAAAATTAAGTCTTTAATAACAAAATCATTCTACTTACCTGCTCTGTGTAAGCGTTTTGCACAGAGCAGAACCCACCCTCTTCTTTTCGGGTCCCCAACCATCCCTCTGGGCTCCTCCCCCATGCCAAGTGCCCCAAAAGCAAGCGGCTTGTGTGTCCTTAATATATACAGAATGAGGACTGGCCCTACCCCCGCTACCTCCTCACTGTGACTGACAGCAGTGGGAAACAATGGGGAGGCAGAATGCCAGGACAGCAACTGCTCTCATGCACATCGCTGGATCAAGTTTGGGCTTGGCCAAGTATTAGAGGGGGGGGGGGGGAAGTTGCATACTTAATGTTTTTTTACCTTCATGCAATAGAATTTACAACCACTGTAATATCAAAATTATCAGATTTATATACATGTACAGAGCCTGCATGGGTTTCCTCCAGGTGCTCTGGTTTTCCGCTCACATTCCATAGATATACTGGTAAATTGGCTCCTGTCAAAAACTGACTCTAGTACAGCAATGGGCAAACTACGGCCCGGCGGACCTTTTAATCCGGCCCGGCGGACCTTTTAATCCGGCCCGCGGAGCTAGGCTCCCGCTAGGCTCCTCTCACAGTCCGCCCTGAAGACTAGTGTAGCATGAAAATCTGTCTCCCTCGACGTATCTGCGCATGTGCCGGACATAGCCGATCGGCTGCTAATGCCTGAAACTGGCACATACGCAGATACGTCGAGGGGGACAGATCCTCATAGGAGACAGATTTTCATGCTACACCGGAAACTGCGCAGGAACACGGCGAGAGGAACGCGCGGAGCAAAGGTAAGTGAATTGACACAGGGGGGGACTTGGGGACTTAATTGGGGGACGAGTTACTATACGGGGGACGAATTACTATATGGGGGACGAATTACTATGCTTACTATGGGGGAATATTACTATACTTACTATGGATGACACATACACATCATTCATCTACTCTTGGTCCGGCCCCCGGGTCCAATATATGAACCCATTGCGGCCCTCAAGTCAAAAAGTTTGCCCACCCCTGCTCTAGTATGTGTGTGTGCATGAATGTGAATGAGGAACCTTAGATTGTATGCTCCTTGAGGGTAGGGATGTGAAAGTATAAAAAATATGTAAAGCACTGTATACATTCACAGCTCTTTAAGTACACCTATAATAAATAAATGTTAAAGGCCAGTCAGCTTTTAACCCCTTTGCTGCCAGAGCCTTTTATGCACAAGGGTAAAAAAATAAAAAATAATCTAATCAGGCCTGAAGATTACTTAAAACCCTCCAAAGAGAATTTCTGAACGTAGACATCCTGGAGAATAAAATAATGGTAGTTCCAGTATTTTATGTTGTGCAATATTAGCACAGCGGTTAACCAAGCACAATATTTCAGTAAAAAAACACAAGTTAATTTTCAGGCACACAAACAATATATTGTTCATTTTTTGGTATAATATAAACAACGAGGTTGCACCGAGTAAGGATACTCAACATGTCAAGCCTTAAGATCGTGTGCCTATAAAATGGCAACAAACTTCAATACCCTAAATTTTCCATAGGTGAAGCCTTAAAAGCCCTATAGGTCATCAGTTTAGGGTTAACCATGAATGAAAAATGGGCCTAGAATTATTGCTCTCACTGTGACATGCACAGCAATATGTAACGTCTGTTTCTGTAATTAAGCACCTTCGATGTGCGTCTAATTAGAGGGTGAGTTTGAAGTGCCTGGTTGTAACCATTTGATAATATGTTGCTGTGAAAGTGATCAGGCAACTGCACTGCTGTACCAGAGATTACTGCACTTGTAGTCCACTGACCCTTCAGCTCTCTAACTGAAAGCACACACCTCCATACAAGCTGGAGACAGTCTGCAATAGCCTGAACCCAGCTGCAATATTTTTCAGGCTTTTGGGTAAGAAAACAATAAATGCACATTTTTTTTCTACAAATATATAGTATTCGCATTTCTTATTATATAGGATTTCTATTGTGCCAACAGTTTGTGGAGCTCCTTACTAAATGAAGGCAGACAGTATAGTCACACTCTTCTGTCTTTATCTGGAGCTCTTTGCCCATATTTACATAAAATACACTGAGGGTTCTTATTTAGGTTTTCACACATTTTCCAACTGAATCCAATAAGAAACGTGTGAAAACATTTATAAACAAACCTACAGGAGTGTACCAATAAATAATAATTTGCGCTAGTAAATGTGTATAAATATATAAATGTATATAAAGAAATCAAATCATAAGTCCAGAAAAAAATATATATATGCCAATACCACAAAAAAATATAAAAAAACTTTTAAGTGCAAAAAACTTTTGTGCAAAAAAAGTGTCTAAATATGAAAAATTTCACCAAAAAACCTTGATAATATAATGGCAGATCACCCATAAATATATCTTCAGAAACGGAAACTCTGCAACACACCGATCCTCATCGATCGAAATAACAGGATGAAAAACTTTATAGTTAATCGAAAATCCACTTCTCCAATAGATAAAGGACCACCTTCAAACGTATCCATGGGGGGAAATGCCAAGCACTCGAGAGAAACAGAAAGACTTCATGGTGCAATATTATAAAAACCAATTCCATTATTAGGTAAGCTCCGCGGAGCTTGATTGATGTGACGTCATTACGTTTTTGGCTGCCAGCTACTGCGCATGTGCTGAGTAGCCAGGCTCGTTTATGTGATTGCTGTTATGCTGTTGATGCTGGTGTCGGCTGGGACACCTCTTGAGTAAGTGCAATGAGTACCTAATAAAGGAATTGGTTTTTATAATATTGCACCATGAAGTCTGTTTCTCTCGAGTGCTTGGCATTTCCCCCCATGGATACGTTTGAAGGTGGTCCTTTATCTATTGGAGAAGTGGATTTTCGATTAACTATAAAAGTTTTTCATCCTGTTATTTCGATCGATGAGGATCGGTGTGTTGCAGAGTTTCCGTTTCTGAAGATATATTTATGGATGATCTGCCATTATATTATCAAGGTTTTTTGGTGAAATTTTTCATATTTAGACACTTTTTTTGCACAAAAGTTTTTTTGCACTTAAAAGTTTTTTTATATTTTTTGTGGTATTGGCATATATATATTTTTTTCTGGACTTATGATTTGATGATCTCTTTATATACATTTATATATTTATACACATTTACTAGCGCAAATTATTTATTTATTGGTACACTTTATATAAAAAATTTTTTGCAGCTGGTACACTATTATTAAGTTATATAATTTTGACCATAGGCGCTATTATTAATTTTTCTTATCTAAACCTACAGGAGTATAGTCAACAAGTGAATTGTCTCTGTCAAAATAACATTTCTAGCTGGAAAGAAAGCCTATTGCTCCCTACTGTCAGAGCACAGCAACTGTGGCACAAGCATGCTAACGTTTACATTTAGTAAAATGGTGAACAGCCAGTGAGAAGACTTCCCCAGCTTATAACACTGATAAGTTCTTAGTGAGGGGTTTAATAAATAGTGATGTCAGGTAGGAAATGAAAAAAAACCCCACAACGAATATCTTGCTTCTTTTCTCTATGCATTCTCAGTGATAAAAACACAGAAAGCAATAGGATTGACCAGTTTTAACCCCTTGGCCCCGGTTCCGGTCAGCCCTTTAAAAAAAAGGATTTCTGAGGCTGAGAGGTAGGGCAGGGTGATATGACTGCCGTGATTGGTTGATACATGATCAGAAAACTCAAAACTTCCCAGAATGTGTTGATGTCCACAGAGTCTAAAGCTGGCCAATTACATTATACAATTATCTGGAGATTTTTGGTTTAGATTTACCAAAAAACAAAATAATAGGAGGAAAAAAAAAAAAAAACACTTTCAGTTGTATCCAATTAATGCAGGCCCTTGCACTACACAGTTGAAGGTAAATCTAAAGTTAATTGGGCAAAAATTGGAAGATAACTGTATAATGTATGGCCAGCCTTAGACTCCAGAACCCCACATGTGCAGGGGTGCAGTGAAGCAGACAGTAATTGCTGGGCCCCCTGATCTCCTCTTCTAATGGGGCTCAGTGCACAATCACATCTGCTTCTAAAAAAAATGGGCACAGAGGGCTCCCCTTCCACAGATAGACACAGGGTTCTCCTTCCACAGGGGGGCTCCCCTTCCACAGGGAAACAAGGGGGGGGGGCTCCCCTTCCA